CAGTCATCATAGCGTCACACGAGTCGGCAGGATGAAGACCTGGCGGCCACTTCATCAACCAGCCACCGTCTTCGAACGTCTCAGCAGGACGCAGTGACCGAACGTGGACCACAAAAGTACATCCCAACTCTACACCAAGACCAGCATCATGACAGCACCATCAGACGACCTTGACATTCCCAAGTACACCGGATCAGCGGACGACGGACCCGTACAGGACTGGTTCAACCTTTTCGAGCTCCACGCCACTGCTGCATCCTGGTCGGAACGGGAGATGATCATAAACTTTGCTGACTACATCTCAGGTGAGGCATTTAAATTTTACCTCACCCACATCTTCGAGGACGATGAGTCTTGAAAAAAGATCAAAGAAGAAATGATCAGTCGTTTCAAGGAATACGATGAAGACCTGTCCATACTTCATCAGCGGAAAGCTTTTCAACTCGCCCATCAGAGTTACGCGAAGTCTTCCCGCAGTAAGCCTATTTTCCAAACGAGACCTCAGAGAAAATATACCACCATTGTACCATCATATGACTCTCCCGAAAAAACGTCACGCATTCGAACACCGACTGGTAACTTGCACGTCGCAACAGACAAGGTAAAGCCTCCGCATAACGAAAGGAATTTAGACCATTTCGGCAAAAGACTAAACCTAAAGCCGGCTTTCCCAAAAACAATGAAATCGGCATTTTCAACGTGTTCACTGCACCACAACACTTCACATTTTACTGAACCACCCGAATCCCTTGATGCTTCGTGTCACACACAAGGCCCAGACGGTTTCGAGCGTGCGACGGAATTTACGCGTGACGAGCTAGTGAATCCTCACAATACCAGCCCCTACCCTGACGTTCCGGACCAGGGTCGTTCGACAGACATTGTCAGCCTAACTACGCTGCAAAAAGAAAAACATACGCCATCAGAACCACCTGAAGCCATGTCTGTTGTGCTCTTATCGTCAGGTGATAACACACATGTGAGTCAAAGCACTGCAGGAATTTCGAATCCATCAACGCCGGCGCATTATCAACTGACAGAAGCATTTACAATCAAGGATGACTCACAACCATCTCGGGAGCTTTCTCATCAGTTTGTCACGCTGCTTTCATCGCAAGACAAGCCCAGCAGTACAGTATCGACTACCGACTATCTACTGATCACATCACCATGCAAAGAAAAGCAGACTCATGTTCCTGCAAGATGCCCATATGACCAACTTTTGCAGCAAAACGAGCAATTTCTACAAAGGCAGCTCCATGAACTCCAGGAACTACAACGGCTACTCGAACAAGAACAACAATCAAGTGAAACCTCCTCACGAGTACACTTGTGGCTTAAAGGTCATTAGAGACAACAGCAATTAAAGAAGCAAAGACAAAGTCAATGCCTAAGCCATATTCGCGGAAGGCTACCAAAGAGATATGCAGCTACAACGTGTACAACGAAGGAACACAGGCATCATATCATCAGCTTCGGTTCTCGCACATGCAAGCTGCAAGCACTCGTTCTGTCTCAGCCACGACACAGAAAGCAGCGTCTACGACGGAGAACTCGGTGTCTACGACACCCGACCCTCGAATGCTACTAGGACTTCCACCCTTGTTCATTGCTCACAAGAATTGCTGTGTCATCAGTAATTTCTACCTTCCGACCGTGCTTCTGTTGGCTAGAACGCAACAGTCAACCTCGCCCATCAGAGTTGTTATAGAATTCACGGAACAGATCCCTCGGCCTTGAAGATTTAGTGAGATTGTGGAACTCCTTCTGGACGTGAAACTGAATTTGGCCATTATTTTGTTTATACTCCTCTTGAACTTGTTCTACTTTGTAACCAGTACCATATTTCGGGGAGAGGGGGAATCATGTGACGTATGAAGGCATGGTAGAAGCCGATGAAGAAGAAGTGCTTGAGAATAAACATGGCGTATGAGCCAGGCCACGTCTCCCAGTCATAATAGTGTCACATATATATGTGTGTGTGTGTGTGTGTGTGTGTGTGTGTGTGTGTGTGTGTGTGTGTGTGTGTGTGTGTGTGTGTGTGTGTGTGTGTGTGTGCGTGCGTGCGTGCGTGCGTGCGTGTGTGCGTGTGTGCCCATATGACCAACTTTCGCAGCAAAACGACCAATTTCAACAAAGGCAGCTCCATGAACTCCAGGAACTACAACGGCTACTCGAACAAGAACAACAATCAAGTGAAACCTCCTCACGAGTACACTTGTGGCTTAAAGGTGGCTTACTTGTGGCTTAAAGTGTGTGTGTGTGTGTGTGTGTGTGTGTGTGTGTGTGTGTGTGTGTGTGTGTGTGTGTGTGTGTGTGTGTGTGTGTGTGTGTGTGTGTGTGTGTGTGTGTGTGTGTGTGTGTGTGTGTGTGTGTGTGTGTGTGTGTGTGTGTGTGTGTGTGTGTGTGTGTGTGTGTGTGTGTGAGAGAGAGAGAGAGAGAGAGAGAGAGAGAGAGAGAGAGAGAGAAGCGATGGTTGGTAGAGGCAGAGAACGAAGAAGTGAGAATAGAATAAACATGCTGTATGAGCCAGGCCACGTCACCCATTCATTATAGCGTCACAACACGAGTCGACATGATGAAGACCTGGTCGCCGCTCATCAGCCACACATCATTCATGAAGCCACCGGCAATATGCCTCAACTGAATATCGACCACAGAAGAGGTGACATCAGGCGCAAGCAGTTACCGGCATCATGGCAGAACCATCGACCGACCTTCCCATCCCCAAGTACACCGGAGCAGCGGACGATGGACCTGTACAGGACTGGTTCGACCTGTTCGAACTCCACGCTACCGCTGCATCATGGTCGAAACAGGAGATGGTCGCCAACTTTACCGACTACGTCTCCGGTGAGGCCTTCAAATTCTACCTTACCCACATATTTCAAAACGACGAGTCATGGGAAAAGATAAAACAAGAGATGATCGTTTGGTTTAAAGAATACAATGACGACTACGACAAAGACTTGCTTGTAACCCACCATCCACAGACAACCGCACTCGGTCGTCACAGTCAAAAGCAGCCTTCACGCATTGACCAACCTCTTGCTTTTCCTTCGCGTGGATCTTTGGTCGCTCACAACGCCCACCTCGCGTCTCACGCGTTCACTATGGTCAGAATAGAGCAGAGAAGCTCCAAGCACACTCAGTCAAGCCCGTTCCCTACCGTTCAGTTTCATGCGCCAGAAGGGCTCGCATCGTTTGTTGCACAGAAGGACAGTCATTCCCAATTAAAATCAGACTAAACCGATCCTTTCGCAGTGTCGCCGTCGAATTCCCAGCCACCTGAGAGCCCAACCCACACAGGAGGCTCGGAAGGATCAACTCTCAAGCAATGCCCTGTGCCAGAAACATTCATCAAGAATGGCGTTGTAAGAGCCTCAGCAGATTTTTCTGCCAATTCTGGCGCACTGTCTTCACTGCCTGACACAAATCGCGACACCCTAACAAGTATCAACTATTTGCTGGTCACGTCAACCTACAAAAAAAAACGGGCTCATGGTTCAAAAGGAAGTCCACCTCGTCAGACAGTGCAACATCATCAATGCCAACAAAAGCAACAAGAGGGACCCCAACAGCTAAAACGCCCACACCAACATCGCAAGGATACTTGTGGCTTAAAGAGTGTCGTGATCAACATACACTAAAGAAAAGACTGATTCCGCATCTGAGCTATCTTCGCAGAAAGAAAAGCCAAGGAACTTTTCCGCACCAGCGTTCAAGATTGCGCCTTCAGCCTGAACATCTGCGTCACCACCATAGTAAACTCCCCAAAAGCAACAAAAACACCCCTTGTACTAGGCAGGAACACAGGCAGCCCCGAATCAACCTCGATCAACGCGCGCGCAAGCTGCCTGTGCGGCCTGCGTATCACCCACGACGAGGAATTCGATTCCTACAACATCGGAACTGTCGATTCTGCAAGATGTTCGAGCCTCGTTCGTTCTTCACAAGAATACCAGCTGTGATTACTCCTATCTCCACACCCAAAGCATTTTCGTGTTATCCAGGACGCAACCACCAGCCCAGCCCACCAGAACTCCTGCGTTAACCGGACTGCTGCACTCTCCCCTGAAGTCTTTGGAAGTTTAAGGAACTCCCCTGGAGCAAAGAACCAATTGTGAATTTTGACATTTGTGACTTTTTAACCTCTCCTTGTATACTTTTTCTTGTTCGTAATCCATGCCGTCTTTCAGGGGGAGGGGAATCCTGTGACGTATGAAGCGATAGTTGGTAGAGGCAGAGAACGAAGAAGTGAGAATGGAATATACATGGTGTATGAGCCAGCCAGCCCATGTCACCCATTTATTATAGCATTATATATATATATATATATATATATATATATATATATATATATATATATATATATATATATATATATATATATATACAAAGCGCTCTGTACATGCACTTTTTACCGCAAGTACAGAGCATTCACGTGGTTCAGATATACATATACTACAAGTGGAAGTGTGTAGCCGAAAGCAAAGATACGGGGCCAGTCTAGTGTGTCATAAAAACGTTCATATTTGAATTCTTTCCTGAAGGATGTTTCTGTTGGCCGCAGAGCTTCAGCATTCGTTGTTGTCAGTCTTACTCTCAAGAGACTAAGCAGTTCAATGCGGAATATGAAGTTGGAGGGTAAAAGGTAACGTCCTGTCCTTTGTCACATCAAGAAAATATACCAGACTATAAGTTTCTAAAATGTTCATGTAAGAGTAATGGTTTCCTTCCCTGCAATAAAGAAAAGGAAAGTAGGTGCGCAGTGGCAAAAGTAGTGGAATGTGTCCAGTGTAAAGCCCAGTGGTAGACACCCAGCTTGGGAGTGTGGGGGCCTTGATTCAAGCCCAGCCAGGCCAAGAAGTTTGATTCACTTAATTTTTTCTGGCAGTGATCATCTTACGTGACAGAGGCAGAGACAGCCTTTTCGTTAAGACTGCAGGGAAATGATCATGCATTTAGGAGAACCAGCGACTCTGTGTTTTTCATTTCAGCAGCACAAGTGAGACTACCCACAGGGTCTTGTCAGTGGAGCCCAGCAGACTTTGCGCACCGCCCGAAAGTGCACCAGTCAAGTTCCACGTGCCTCCTTCCAGAAGCAAGCCTGACACTGCCCTATCCCCGGAGAGAGATGCAATCCAAGAGGTTCAGTCACCCACACGAAGCACTGTGACCAGCCTGGACGCGAGGGTCCAGAACGTGTAACTATAATGCACATATCCACAGCACCTTATCCCTCTAACTGGCAACAGCTGTTGCGCAAGAGCCCCATTTGTTGCGCCTCAGTGCACAATGTGACTACGTTCCTCTTGCATGCTGTATTGTACATTGTCAACCAACTCTTCATGCTCCACAGCATGGAACCGATGGAAGTGACCTAGGTCAATAGCAACAAAGACTAGCCGCCTCAAGGCTAAGAGCATGTATTCAAAGCTTGGCTCATATTTACAATGCTGTGCTGGCTCAGCCAAAGTAGCACGCACGATAGGTCCAAAATTCAAACATTAAGTTGCCATCAAAAGGTATTGTTCAATCAAGCTGTTGTCTCTAGCAAGTCTCGAACACTACAGAAATGTTGCTAAGCTCATGTGGCTGTCATTTGATTAGACTTGGGTGCCTCAGTATTTCAAGCGAATGTCAAAAGCCTGCTTTTTATCATTTTTGTGCGAGAGGCCACACATAGAGTGCACCTAGCATTAAGAATCGAAATAAAAACGATTTCTGAAGACGAAATGCTAGGTAACTCAGGATATCCTGACAAAAAAACGAAATTAATGTCTCAGTTTCTGAATTTGTACTGCCAGCCTTGTTCTCTTTAGAATTGTGAGCTTTCACAGCAGTAGTGCCTAGTAATAAATACCACAGCCGGAGGCTGCACCTAAACATGCACATATTCCAACCAGTGGTCAATGATCACTGAAGCCTAGGTGTAATAAACCAAGAACTAACTAGGCAGCATTGTAGGCACTCACCAGAGCACGAAGTGCTGGCTAGAAGTCATTTGCTAAGTACTACTGTTAACTTCTTCCAGCCTCTTTGTTTCTCCTACCACCTGCAGAGTTGAGCAAGCATGTTTAGGACTACTCTAGCGAAATAAAATGTCTCGCAGTGCATCCTAACAACCGAGAAATAGTCTCACCACAACGAAAAGACATCACAGATCATGTGCATACTTAAAATACAAATTTTCTAAATTTCGGCAATGGTACGACTGAGAAAAAATACTAAATGAGATAAGTATGGCAGATTGCAATGAGGAGTAAACAATGTGTATTAAGACGGAGTTGTGGATTTCAGGTAATGCTTATTGGTTAGCTACCATGCTCCCAAGGTATGTAACGTAAAAAGAGAGAAAGGAACAATGATGAGGTATCATCATCTGAATGACAATGCAACAGTAACATTGTCAATGTATATTATACAACCAGGATGACCCCAGGAACTTTAGCCGTGCCATATGAACTTCGATGTGCCATTGTGCCAAGAGAAAAGTTAGCGGCAGAGCGCCTGGTAAGCTGGGCATCGGCCTGTTATGAAAACGAAGTTCTAGACCAGCGTTTTCAAAATGGCACACTAGAGAACTTTCCGGAATACCAACTTTTATCAAAAAGAAACGATGCATGTTAGACAAGAATAAAACGGTTGCTCATGTATTTCCAAGAGCAATATTCCTAGGTTCATGCGATTTGGTAGCTCCTGGCAGCGCCAAGGTTAAGTGCTTATTTAGGAAGTTGCTTAAAGGAGAGCCAATTTAGAAACTTTTTACACTTGCATAAATTTCACTTACTGATGCAAGGATTCTGCAATCATAATCAGCTTACATGCAAGAATATGAAAGCATTACACCGCATAATAATATCATACGTAAGCTGCGATTCTGGTGTTGAGTTCAAAATGGTATATTTATTCATTTATTTCTTAGTGAATTATAATACTTTCTTTTTACTACAGACACTGAACAAGTTCTGATATAATGATCATAAATTTTTGCTTCAATTTCGTGAAATACAGTGTTCTTCAATCCTACGAAATCTAGATAAGAGGATCATTAACATAAAAAGAAATGATTTCTTAATGTATGGTGCATTTTATGTGAAACAAACCAAACAAAGGTTGGAGGAACCTTAGGAGAGGTCACACATTATAAAAATTCACATTTGCAAGCATTTTGATGGCAAGCTTGTAATACAGGGGCACAGAGGTTTATTTTATGTGTCTATGACTACTTTCCCTTGGAAATGCACGTCTCCCGAAATCTAGTCGAGTGCACACAAAGAAAAAAAACACACACAAGACAAGAAATAGACAAATTTCTAGCACAGCAAGCCCACAAGTGCACATATAGCAAACTACACATTCTGATTGACTATAAACAGTTCATGCAAAAGGTTCTTGAAGAGAAACCTCAAAGGTTGTGAATATCTTACGTGGAAGATGCAAAAAAAGAGAGAGAGAGAAAGTTTAGGCTTGTTAGATGTTGTGCCTCTTAGAAAAAAAAATCTGGCTGTGCTTGGCCAAAGAGAAACAATATTAGGAATAGAATATTTCAGCATTTGATCAGCTTGCGGATATTATGCACCTTATTGCTTCCAAATGCAGTATCTATATCTAATCAAGCAGCAACATAAATAATGTCAATAAAATTGAACATAGGCATAGCCAAAAAGGAGGGGGTGAAGTCAACCTCTGAAAATTTTCATTTGCATGAGTACATATATGCATGCTTGTACAAACACACATACATATATACATAGAAAGGGGTTGGACTAACGTCCTTACCCCAACGTGACATCCTTGCTACGAGTAGGTGAGAAGACTCCAAGCTATGACCGCTTATATTTGTAAGAAAATCAAATATGCTGCTACCTGTCCTCAAATATGGATGATCGTGATGACACAATTAACTTTCTTCCACATTTGAAAGTAGCAGCATCTGCAAGCTTTGGGGCATTTAACACATCATGATTTTTTATGTGCTTTGGAGTCGTACAAATGTGACACCATTCGAGCGGCTCCCTACAGTCGAAAGGATAACAACGCAGCACTATGTTACAAGCTCTCGAACAGGTACTGCCTCTTTGCACACGAAATTCCACAATTGTAGTTAATATAGTCAAATGTCATCCAAACACAAGTGATCAAACACGTCGAAACCTTTTAATGCACTGCACAGGGTGTCAGTATTCAATGGCATGAATTCACAGCATAATCCCGGCACAACTCTGCTGCTTTTAAATCTAGTCCATAGACCAGCCCCTTGAAGATGTTACCAAAAATATTAAGGGCTCCTTTACAATCAAATCAGTCTTTGTGCGGAGAGATGCAGCTACAAGAAGAGACAAAGCCACTGGCCTTTTCAGCCGCTTTCGTCTTGTTGCCCACAATATTCTTAAACATGCAAAAGCCCCATACTAATATGATCCCGCATGCCCTAGAAACAAAGTCAGCTTTTCAATGATTAGAGCACTTTAATGCCTGCATTTATTGAGGGCCACACAGGCATGAATTACATTCTAGGCAACCTGGATGAAGTATACACACAAATGCATATAACTACATATAAACCTGTTGTTTGTTGACACATCTTGCAAAGTATATGTGCATGTTGGTGTGCTTTAGCGAAGCAGTGAACCCTAGTTTTACCCTTGCTCGACAGCACCACTACTCAAACTAAGCTCGCGATTCCACGGGCAATGGCATAGTTTCCAACAAAGAGAGTTAGCACAATACGTGTGCAGCCATAGGTGTGTTTCCCAGCAGCCTCCTCCAATGACATTAATCTTTCCGTGCACTGCGAGATATATCTAGTGTTGACTGTTAATGATACAAGACTACATTCAGCCGCAACGGGATAACTTTTGGGGCCCCTGCAGCAATGAAGGATCGAGTTTTGCTTTGGCGAGGAAGCCAGGAAAAGGCTAGGGAGGCCATTTGCAGCAAGGTCCACAGTAGAAAAAAAAGGGCTTCGCACTACACTGTGTACTGCATGTGTGGTGCTCTATTTTCTTTTCTTTCTGGGCCGTGGCTCGACCTCTCTCAGCAGCATATAAAAAGAGGAGAAAGAAAAAAAGGCTACCACTAACACAAACACACACACACACACATACTTACACAGCTCCACAACGATAGGGCATAAATCAAAGTGGTGTAGGCGTCCATGCAGAGTTGCTGCAGCGCCGCAAGCTCGCAGCCGAAATGGCTATTGGTGCAACTGAAGGAGCTGCTGAAGCGCTAAAGGCTACGATTTCACCGGGTTACTCCGAGCCCTAGATGCTCGAGCCTTCTACCGCAGAGATAGGAGCGGAAGTTAATTCAAAACTGCGTCCGCATGAAAACGGGATCAGGTACTAAGCTGTATGACCCGGTACGAATGCCACTCGTGACAAGAAAGTTCCATGAAAACTGTTCTCCCTGGTATGGATACTATCATGTTCGGTAACACACTCTGCAAACACATTTCAGAAGGCATCTTGGGGGGCACTGTTGTTTGTCAACAAGGTCTAATCAGGGAAATGTTGAATCTGTTTTCTAAGACTGGGTCATGCCACTTGGCACCCGTGCTGTTTCCGGTCATTCGGGATTTTTGTGCGGATGCAACAGCGATGATCTGGTTACTGTTGATGGCAAACTGTTGCCGTGGCGTTAAGGCTCTGCTACATGTACATACTCCACAGTACTGTTATCCCCTGTTACAGTTTTCTCCTTTTCTTTTTTTTTTGAAGCTTCTGAACATGATCAGAAGCATGATGCGAGATTCTCTCACCTGCGAGCAGCGACTGTCCAATTTCCCAACATTTGTGGAAATGCAATTTTGTGGTATGAATGTGACATTGCCTGTTGCTGTATATCTGGGGCATCCCTGTACATATAGAAAACTCGCACAACTCACCATCCCCTTTTTTTTTTCTTTGGCATTGCTCAACCACGACACGAGAGTTCTCAAAAAACACATCATTGAAACTTGGATTGGGTTCCGCGCCACCACCGTGGAAGATGGTGCCTTCTGAACAGCAATGAGATGTTATGCAGATTACCGAAGTATAGTTCTAGCACACGTTAACTGGGAAAAACATATCGAAACATAGCTCGTTGACGAGGGTAGTTGGGTTCCTCGTATTTGCCATTGCTCATTCGGAATATTTTCTTCATGTTACAAATGTTGCCGCTGGTGACATGCCAGTGTCTGGTTCCATACAATGTACCAT